GGAGGAACCATTTACTTGGCTCACAGTTTGTGGAGGTTTCAGTCCACAGTTGGCAGGTTCCGAGGTAGGATAGCACAGCAGAGGTGCATCGCAAGGGAAAAGTAACAGTTCATGGTGTGCAAGGCAGTAAAGGAAGTGAAGAAGCAGTGAGTAGTAGCATCAGCAGCCAAGCCTGCTTTTGCATTTCACCCAGGCTACCCACACTTTGGGCAATGCCACCCACACCCTTGGACCCAGCATCACACCACCACGTATGACCACATGAAGCTTTGGGGGAGACATCTACATACAAGCTACAGCATGCATGTTGAAACCCTAGAGTGGTCCCTAAAAAGTAAAACAAAAACATTATAAGCCAGTAGTAGAGATACAATTATAGAGTTAATTAATACAAAAAATCAGGAAACAAAAGAGAACCAAGAACAGATCGGACAAATTATCAAGTAGACTTAAATTCAGCCACATATGCAATCATATTAAATGCAAATGCTGATTCCAAATAAAAATTAGAGATTATCAGGTTGGAAAGAAAAGCAGGTCTAGTCATGTGGTTTATTAAAAAACTTACTTTAAAGACGTAAATAGGTGAAATGTAGAAAGATGAGAAGAGATATACCATGCAAGCAGTAATTTAAAACAAAACAGAATTGTTATATCAATAGACAAAGTAGACTTCAGAAAAAGTAATATTACCAGTTTTAAAGGGGACATTACACAGAGAGTCGCCTTGTTGAGTGGACATAACACACCAATGCACTTATGTAACTAATGAAAGGGTTTCAAAATACATAAAGCAAATACTAGTCCAATGAAAAGTGAGATCAAACAGATTTATAGTTGTATACTTCTAATAAGAAATATTTAAAGAAATAATTTTTGGTTACTAGAGGAAGATCACACAAACCAGATATATTTTCAACAGTGAGTAGCCTCTAAATAAACTCACTGGTTTTAGGAAAAAAATTTTGTAAGTGGAATTACTAACAGAGTAGTATATATCTTTGTATATCTTTAAATGATACACATAAGAGGATTTAGAGTTAGGGTTATACAGATAATGCTGTGGATAAAATTAGTTCATTAAATGATTCATCGAAACAGTTGATGCCAGAAGTACTCTAGGGTTGTAAGATACCACCGATTTGGTAATTGTTGTACAAACAGGGTTATAGGGGCTGGGGCTTTAGTTCAGCAGCATAAGCACCTGCCTGGCAAGGGCGAGGTCATGAGTTTGAACCCTGGCACCAAAACAAAACAAAACAAACAAACAAAAAACCAGGGTTATAAAAATATAGTGGGAACTTAACAGTACACTAAAAGAGATGGGTAGTGACTACAAATATTTCTTATACTACACAGAGATTGGTTGATTGGTCATCTTGTGGCAGGACACTTAAGAACGACTTAGGCAGATTTCCTTTTATAAATAGGAGAAGGACTCTGAATTTGTTGACCCTTTACAGGTGATGACAACTGGCCCTTTAGAAGCTCATGCTCTCTAAAAGGCATTTTAAAAACAATAAACATGTACATTTTATTTCTTCAAGGTTGTGTCCTTGGGGTCACTGCAAGAAATTTAAAAAATAAAACAAAACCCAGATGTGATCACTAGGAACATGCTTTTCTCACTATTTCAAAATCTTGAAGAGTTTCAAACTCATTCGTTAATAACTTAAAATTAACACCTTCTAACCAGTTTGTGGGAACAATTTGCCAGCTGCATTTTAAACAAAAACCTTCGCATGACTGGCCCATCAGTTTGAAAACAGTGTGTCAGCACCCGCTTCTTCTGTGTGGATTCACCCCTCTCCGGGCGACACCTTTTCCAGTAATGGGATCCAATCAAGCTGAGTATTGACAAAAGCTCAATTTAGAACAGATCCTGGAAATACTGTATCAAAACAAGTTAAGCAAGATTCTAGAAATGTAATGAAGCATATCCGAGCACATTTCAGTCACTGAAAATAGTAATAGTTTTTTTAGTGAAAGTTGAAAAAACCTTTAGACAGTTTAATAAGTAAAACATTATTTTATTGATATGGGTCAGTTACTGGAACAGTGGTAGTTTATGAATTCTTCCACATTCATCCTCCTACCTCTACTCTATCCTGGTTTTATTTTGTCATTGGCACAATTTCCCTGAAGGAATTCCTTTGGAGTGGAGACTGTGGTCACAGGAGAGTCACTGGTCACTCCACCCAAGCAGGCACACCCACACTTACGGGCCTGCTGCCTGGGCCTCATGCTCCTCTGCCTTCTTACATGCAAAGGAATGGCTGTATATGATGCTGGTCCCTAACAGGCCAGTAGCCAGCCTAGAACGCCTAGAAAAGTGCTCTGAACAAAGGCCTCAGAGTAGCTGTTGCAGCCCGTTGCTGGTTTGCCCAGGCCTTGTGCTTTTGCATATCTCATCCACCCAGTCAGCCTATGGGGTAATCACTATTTATATTTTACAGCGGGGGTCCAAGAATGTGGCTTGGTAGGTGGCAAAGTTTAGAGTTAGACCAGTTTATCTGACCCTTATTCCCCTGCGGAGGGTTGTGTTAGTCAGCTTTGCGTTGTGACAAAATACCTGACACACACAATTTAAAGGAGGAAAGGTTTATTTTAGCCTACAATTTCAGAGGCCCCAGCACATCATCAGCAGACTCCAAAGGTTTTTGTTTAAAATGCAGCTGTTAATTGTTGTGACACACTGGTTGGAAGGTGTTAATTTTAAGTTATTAACTAAGGAGTTTGAAACTCTTCAAGGCAGAAATATCATAGCAGAAGGGCATTTTGAAGGAAAGCTGCTTATTCAATGGCAGGCAGGAAGCAGAGAAAGGAAGAGCCCGAGAGGAAGAAAGAGGCAGGGACAGCTCCAGGGCATGGCGCCAGTGGGCCACCTCGTCCAGCGGGGCCCCACTCCCAGTGGCCCATCCAGCTATGCCCTCATCAGTGGATCAGTTCATTGATGAGATCAGCACCCTTATGATCTAATCATTCTGTGGTCCCCACCTCTGAACTTTGCTGTGTTGGGGGTCAAGCCTTCAATATGAGTCTTTGGGGGAACATTACATGTTTAGGGGTCAGAGAGATGTGTTACGGGAACATGGTGATTCCCCCTACGATCCCTCCACTTGGGCTTTCACTGTCAACTCTTCCTGTAACCCTTGGCCAACCAGCGCCACCATCGTCGTCCTGGCACACCGTCAAAGTCTGTGCCACACTGTCTGCGTCATTTCACATCCTTACTAGAAGGATCAGTTCAGACAATACAGTGAGACACACTGAGAAAAATCGATATCACCATCCCTTTTACTGCGGTACAGTATGATTGCTCAATTTTATTGTTAATCTCTTATCATTGCTATAAATTAAACTTTACCTTAGGTAGGTTGTAGGAAAAATATAATATATATAGGGTTTGTGGTTTTGGATTCCCACTGAGGATCTTAGAATGGGTCCTCCACGAATAAGGTGGGGGAATTGCTGTAATCTGTTCACACTGGTATGGGCACCCTCTAGAGCATCTGTGTAAAGCAAAAGGAAGGCCAAAGTGGGTGGTAAGATCAGCTTTACCTGGGAGGCTCAGGGTTTCAAAGGAGAAATGTTTTAGATGCCTCTAGAATAGGTTCCTAAATTTGGTTACCATCAACATCACCCAGAGAGACATTTAAAAAAAAGACCAGTTCTTGAGCTTCTTTGCAGACTTATCAAATCAGTACTGCAGTGAAGAAAACAGAATGCACTTGTGTGTTCCCAGCAGCTCTTCTGGACCCGGGTGGAGACTCTTGGAAGGTTGGTGCGATAGAGTAGGGGCCACTCCTGGAGATGCTCTGCACCCCTACTTAGGAGTGGATTTGAGTCTACTTGCTGCTTTGGACACCTGCCTTGGTCCTGAGACCGGATCACGAGAGCTGCATGGGTTTGTTCACTGCTATCTGCCTGGGGACTGTGCTTACAGAAATGATTTCTTTGTCAAAATACATGACAGGGAGCCTGCTTTTGCCCCAGGCCTCTGTTTCATAACTTTTTTATTGGAGCAGAAAGAAGTAGCACATTATTGTTCTTCTGCTTCACGTTTTCTCATGGATCAAGAAAGCAACAAGCACTTTGTGCAAATAGAAAAGCCTGCTTTGTTGTCTGAGGACACGGAGGTGGGGTTGCCAGGAGAAGGCCTTTCACAGGCCATAAAAGACTCTGGGCACAAAGCAGGCTGGAGGCGATAGCGATGGGCGGGAGGGCCTGGGAATAGGTGGAGAGAAATCACTTGCCCATCTTCACTAGCTCAGGGAGGGTTCTATATGTTTCTGTATGAAAGTGATCCTGACAGGTATGTGTCCCGGCTCTCTGGTAGCTCTGTTTCTATGTGAAGGATCTTTTGGGGCCAGTTTTAAGCAATGGTGTTTCTGAAACCTGGAGTGACTTGAGGGGACTTTGATGTTTTAAGAAACCTTGTTGATACTACTAAGGCGATCAGCAGCATGCTTTCTCGTGTGTCAGCTGCTTTCCTTGAAACCTATCCAGGGCAAGGTGGTTGTTGTCATCCTCAATTTTAGACAAGGCACTGAGGCTCAGAGAATATGTTCTTCCCTCCATTTGAGTCAGGTTCAGTTCCTGAGATGTGTGTTCCTTGTATGAGATCATTCAGTAAAGTAGATACCTGCCTAGATCACTGGCTTCACAAACCTGAATTTTTCCATGTTGGGTTTTATTCAATTAGAGCTCAAAGTTGAGTGAACTAAAGTTGCCACAACTAATATGATTGTGGAATCAATCTTGAGGAATCTGATTAAAAGAATTATATTTTTCTACAGCATAATAGGCACTAAACAACTAGAAATTTCCTCTTAAGCTATATTTTTTCTTACCTCCAGATAAATATCCTTTCTTTTTAAAATTTACTTTTATTATTATATGTTCTCAGTACTTAATGAATACTATATTCATTGTGGATAGTTGATCATGTACAAATGCTCTTTCTTGGCCAGCGATTTACATACTTTTTTGAGTTTCAGATTCATCTGGAGGATGTGTTGAAACACACTGTTGGATCCCTCTCCTCGGGATTCTGATGCAACCAGCCTGGAAGGAGCCAGAGAACTGCCTTTCTAATCAACCCGCTGGCGGTGCTGACACCGCCGGTTCAGAGACCTCACTCTGAGAACCACAGTTCTACAATGTTTTTTGGTTTTTTTTTTTGCTATGTATGCCTTAATGGTATCTCTATATTCCTAATATGTGCACAGTGGATTAATAAAAATGGACCCATGTATTACTCATTTTGAAATTTTCTTTCATTTTAAAAAATCGTAGATATCATTCTTACTCTAATATTCTACATCATGCTTTAAGGTAGAGCTATCCATTACTTTTTAGTGGTTGCATAGAAGAATTTCATTTTATGTTTGAACCACTGTAGTTGAAGTTTTATATTGTCTTCAGTTTCTCCCTGTTACAAAACAATGCTTCAACCTTTACTTATTTCTTTATACATGTGTGCAATACATCTGAAAAATAGATCCAAAAAAGTGGAATATTATATGATGGCATATAGCAAGTCTTAAGGTTGTATACAGTCGTCAGGTTATCTGCTGTCCCTTCGTATTTGTTCTGAATTTTACTCCTCCTAATAGAGTTTGCCTCGTTAATACTGGTGTGAATAATATTTTATATGTTTGTTTAACTGCGTGAGAAATGTTGTATTGCTATTTTTTCTCATTAATATTTGTTTTAGTGAGTCTCAAAATTCTGTGACAGATTTTTGGTCAACTTGTTTCTATTAAAAACTGTTGATTTTAAAAACTAATAACTTAAAAACTGCCTCACATGCACACACACACATACACACACACAAAATGGTCACAAAACACTTTTATTTCCTTCTGAAGGCTTTATAACGTGTTATTATCATTAATAATTCTTTCACTATTAAACTTAAGTGGCCAATTGGGAGTAAGTTCTGAGACGGGTCTTCCACCATTGATTAAGACTGCGGTGGCAGGTATTAGGGATAATATTTATTTAGCCTTCTGAGCTTTCTGGGCAGATGTGACCTTGCCAGCTCCAGCAGCCTTCTTGTCCACTGCTTTGATGATACCTACAGCAACTGTCTGTCTCATATTGCTAAGAGCAAAATGACTCAGATGTGAATAGTCAGACAAGCTCTCAACACACACGGGCTTGCCTGGAACCATGTCAACAATGGCAGCATCACCAGATTTCAAAAATTTGGGGCCATCTTTCAGCTTTGTACCAGACTGGTGATCAATCTTTTCTTTCAGCTCAGCAAATTTGCAAGCAATATGAGCTTGATAGTCCAGTAGAGACATAGCCAGCACTGACCTGGCCAGGACGGCTCCAGATAATCACTGAGCAGTGAAACCAGTTGTTTCCATCGGTGGGTCATTTTTGCTATCTCCAGCAACACTGCCACGATGAACATCTTTGACAGAAAAGTTCTTGTAGCCCACATTATCCCCAAGAAGAGCGTCACTCAAAGTTTCATGGTGCATTTTAACAGACTTTAACTTCAGTTGATACATTGATTAGTGTGAAGGTGACTACCATGCCAGGTTTGAGAACTCCAGTCTCTATGGGGACAATACCAATACTACCAATTTTGTAGCCATCCTGGAGGGGCAATCACAAAGGCTTGTCATTTGGGCAAGTGGGTAGAAGGATACAATCCAAAGCTTTGAGCAGAGTGGTTTCAAAGGAGTTGCCATCTTTACAAGTGACCATCAAGCCCTTGAACCAAGGTATATTAGCATTTGCCTCTAGCATGCTGTCACCATGCCAACCAGAAATTGGCACAAAAGTTACCATATCAGGGTTAAATGCTATTTTCTTAACATAGGTGCTTATTTCCTTAACAATTTCCTTTATGTATTCTGGCTATAAAATGGCTCAGTGGAATCCATTTTGTCAACATCAACAATTAGTTGTTTTATACCCAGGGTGTATGCCAGAAGGGCACGTGCATGGGTCTGCCCATTGTTGGAGATACCAGCTTCGAATCACCAACACCAGCAGCAACGATCAGGACAGCACAGTGAGCCTGAGATGTGCCTGTAATCATGTTTTTGATAAAGTCTCTGCATCCAAGGGCATCAATAATAATCACATAATACTTGCTGGACTCAAATTTCCACAGGGAGATGTCAGTGGTGATACCATGCTCATGCTTGACTTTCAGTTTATCTCAGACCCAGGTATATTTGACAGAGCCCATCTCTATCTCAGCAGCCTCCTCCTCAAAATTTTCAATGGTTCTTTTGTTGAGGCCACCACATTTATAGATCAGATGACTGCTAGTGGTGGACTTGCTGGAATCCACGTGTCCAATGATGATGATATTAATGTGAGTCTTTTCCTTTCCCACGTTGCCTTTGATTTAGTGGTGGTCTGCACTACACCTGTGCTCTTGTAGCAAACCCATTGCAAAACAGCTATTATTGCTATTTTAATTTATATGTCAATATCATTGAAGTTGGTTATGTTTTGTCTTCCATGATGTATCTTCTACATTTACTCATTGTTAGAGCAAAGAAGTCCACAACAGCAGAAAAATACATGGCAATGCATTGTGTTTTATATGGCTCCAGTCATGATATCTTACTGAAGAAACCACAGAAATAAGCAAAAATAATGAAAGATGTCAGCATAGCAAAGCAAAATGAATAAAGTCCTTTAGGCTAGAGAACAGAGAATTTCTTTATTTTGTTGATCATAAAAGGCCTTTATTTCTCCATCAATTTTGCAGGATAATTTTACAGGACATAATAACGTGTGTTGGCAATTATTTTCTTTTCTTTGAAAAGCACTGTCTACTTTCTTGTCTTTTAAGGTTTGTTTTGAGAAATCTGCAATCATTCAGATGTATTTACCCTTATAGGCAATTTGATGCCTTTCTTTAACAGCTCTTAGAATTTGCTTTGTTCTGAATCTTTGGGATTTTGACTATGCTATGTCATGGAGAGTTTTTTTTCTGGTCATGTTTGTTTGAGTTTCTAATGCCTCATTTACCTGGGTATCCATCTCATTCCCTAGATATGGGAAATTTTATGCAATAATTTCAGCAAGTAAATTTTTTATACCATTAGTCACTGCCTGTATCCATTCCTCAAGTTCAGTGACTGTTAAGCGTTTTGTTTTAAAGTCATCTAGGAGTTCTTGAATTATCTTTTGATTGTCTCTCATTTTTTCAGTGTTATGAGTAAATGTTCTAGAACATCAACTTTGTCTTCAGGTCCTGATATTGCATCTTTTGATTGATCTTGCCTACTGACAACATTTTCAACTGAGTTTTTCGTTTCCATGATTTCCACTTGATTTCTTTTTATAACATCTAATTCTTCACGGAAGTAGTCTTTCATATCTGGCATTGTCTTCCTTAAATCATTCACCTGCTTATTGGTATTTTCTTTAAGCTCATCTTAGTGATTGATTCATCTAGCTGCTTGTCTCTCTTTTGAGTTGCTTGCCTGGATATTTATCTACTTCAGAGTCTATGAGATTCATTTGTATAGAGCTGTGAATTTTTGGAAGCATTTTGTTGCCTCTTGTCATGATTCTTGGGTGTTTGTGTTGAATGTCTTGACTAGCTGGGCTAGAAGCCTCTGCCACCATAGTAGAGATCTCTTTGGTAAATGGATTCTTCCTGTGATACACCATTGGCTTTGGGTATGATTCAGTGTATAGGTACTTACTCAATCTATTCAAAAGACTTGAATCAGTTCCTGTTACTTCCTTGTGAGGAGAAAACAGCTACCAGTGATAATATCCAAAGAACCAATCATATGTCAACACATAATTTAAATTTAAAACTTGCTCAAAAAGTTTTTTAAAAATTAATTAATTAATTTTTTATTTTAAAGATAGTAAAATCCAACAAAATAAGACAGAACAAAGCCAATCAGAACAATGCAGCAAAATTGATACAGAACTTCAAAGCAGGATACCAGGAAAATAATAGCTACCATAGTGTCTCTTGTTATCTTCACAATAGTTGTTCATCCCATCAGGTAAAGCAAAATCAGGCAAAAAACAAAACACAATAAAATCAATCAAAACAGAATATTGAATAAAGCAAAACAATTAATCAGAACAAAGCAAAACAGTGAAAACAATATTGGACTTCAAAGACAAGAAGGAAACTCCTATGTTTGCTGTATTGCATACTGGCATCCTTCCAAAAGATGCTCAGATCTCTGGCGCCAGGTCAGCATAATCAACCAAACAATAAGAGCATTTAGTTTTTTTATGTACCTTAGTTGCTATCAAATCAGGCAGTCCGAAGACCCGTCAGGTTGCTAATGTTGGGGAGAGGGGGATTTTGACTGTGTTTGATCCTCAGACTGCATACTGGTAGGCTCACGGAGGTGCTGTCTTTTCTCTCCCTGGAACGTGTGTGGCTTGCACAGTTTACCAGGAAGGCTGGCTAGTTGGTTTCTTGGTTTGTCCCCCAAGCCCCAGCATGCTTGTTCAAAAAGTTTTAAACTCTTTCAGTAACTCAGGAAGAGTAGTGATAAAACAGGCCAGGAAACAGGAGAGGAAGAAAAAGAGGGGAATGAAATGAAATGAAAAAGGAAAAAAATGAAAAATAGGTTTTGATATTATTATTCTTTTGGTACTAGGGATTGGACTCGTGTCCTCACATTTGCCAGACAGGCACTTGTGCTGCTGGGCTAAACCCCTGGCCTTGATAATATTATTTTTCTGCCAGGCCAGAAGTGAGGAGGGAGAGGAGGTTTAGGAAGATAGGTGCAGAGGCAGAGAGAAAGAAGGGAAGGAAACATGAGGGAGAAGGATGAAAAGCTTAAAGGATCTTGGAAGCAGTGAATGAACTAGCATTAATCCACTGCTGGAAGGCTTGGAAAACTCTGAGTGAAGGAGAACCCACCAGATTAGTGTAAATCATTGTACAAATTAAAATAATAGTCAGATGGCTGAGTCACCTGTCACAGCAGCTGCAGGCCAGTTTGAGGGTGGGTAAACGCTCCTGCATGCTCGGGAGCTTCTGTTTTCAGATCAGTGGTGAGGCATTTAGCCTGCTCCCTCCAACGAGTGTCAGCCCGAGTTCCCAGCCAGCCATGGACTTACAGAACATGCTCCCCTGACATTCTCACTCCATTTCTGGAATTCCCAGCCCCTTATCTCAGCTTGCTCAAGCCTCCATGATTTGAGCGGCATCTGGGATTAGGAGGATATTTTCTCAGTGAGTGCACCTTGCATGTCTTCAGGTCCCGACTGTCCTGAACCTCTGAATTTATCTTTAGCA